ACTATTGGGATGAACGGAGACGTAATGGTACGTGCACGTCGTCTGATGCGTGAACTCCGTCTTGCAAGAAAAAACCGACGTAGAGCATCCACCTTAGCGGGCTGCTAAAAATAAATTAATACATAAATCAGTAAATAAACAGACATGATATTAAACAGTGAAAACAAAGACAAATATATTTCAAACTTGCACGGTATTCACCCAAGTCATTATTATATCATTGTTCACAAAATGCATCAGATAACATTCAAGAAGTAAGCACTTATATAAACATTTAAAAGGACAACATATAGGTTTAGTGCAGGTTCAATGACAACATAAAGAGTAGTAGTTTATTCTTGAAACTTAAATTTTCAACACTGTGAAGTTAGTATTTGTCTTTTGGTTGAAGTAATGCAATTCATTCAAGTTTCAATTTGCAGAAGAAGAATAGAATCTGAAACTTAAAATCGCAATGCGAAAATGACTATCGCAATGCGAAAATGACTATCGCAACGCGAAAATGACTATCGCAATGCAAATTTAACTATCGCAATGCGAATTTGACTATCGCAATGCGATTTTTATTTCGCATTGCGATTCTTTCATTGCGATAGTCAAATTCGCATTGCGATAGTCATTTTCGCATTGCGATAGTCATTTTCGCGTTGCGCTTTTGTTGTTGCGATTTTCATTTCGCATTGCGATTCTCTCGTTGCGATAGTCATTTTCGCATTGCGATAGTAAACTATTCTTCTTCTGCAAATTGAAACTTGAATGGATTGCATTACTTCAACCAAAAGACAACCAAAAACAAATACTAACTTTACAGGGTTAAAGAATAAACAGTTAAATAATATTGGCAGCAACCGAATGAATTTACTAAGCAATCTAAGTGAAATTACGAGTAAATTTATTATCAAGTTAAATATGAAAAATATTAAACTTACATCGTTGCGTAGAGTATGAACCTCATTCTGCAATGATGCTACAATCTCACGTAGAGCTGCTACCTCACCATGTAAAGTAGACACCTCAACACGCCATGCACCATTGTCATCGCGTAAAGTACCGACCTCCTCACGCAAGGCATTGACCTCATTACGTAACTCCCCTAACTCATCCCGTGGAGGTGGAGGTGGAGGTGGAGAACAGGGAGATAAACGTCGTGACATCTTTGTCGGTCGCCTATCATGAGGTGATGGTGAAGAAGAGGCTCGATGATGTGACAGAATAGGTGATGACTCTCGTTGTGGAGGTGTATATTCGGGTCGATCAGGTGATGGCTCTGGGTGAGGTGGTGGCTCTCGAAGTGGTGGCTGCTCATCATCCGTGCCATCAAAAAAATGCTTACTAGCTTGCCACCAATCAGTGGCAAGCTCAACATCTGTGGGTGTCAGCCTTTGTAATGGAGTGTTGGCCTCCTAATAATATAAAAGCTCAAACAAAGTTAAACGTGTACTAGTAATAACTTGTTTATAAACATATGGTAGTATTTGTGTTAACTTACATTATTTATTGTAGTATACGGTAGTAAATCTTCCTATTGCTGCAAGGACCGTTTCCTCTTCCAGGAAATAGCCCTAGGAATATCATTAGAAGTTTTTAATGCATATGTCTGCATGGCGGGAAAGGCCTCAAATATCCAAATCTACAAACAATATAATAACAAACATTAGTAATTGTTAAAGAATTAATTATAATTTTGGAAACATTTATATAAAAATTATTACCTTAAAGGCCTAAATAAAGCCTGACAAAGTGTATTTGGAACCATCGTCACGTAAACTTTTCCGATCATCAAAGGCAGACGATAAATTATTCCATGTAGCTTTCCATAGATACGAACCCCACAGAAACATGTTCTATGCATTTAGGTCCTCTACCAATTTAATTAGATCATTAGGAATAGGTTGTCGGGCCTCTCTGCCTAAAAATCCAGCTTGCAAAAGTATTAGAAGGCATACTCGGACAACATCGACGTCATCCATCCGAGTAAAACCATCTTTCTTATTCAATAATCTCGTCAAGTCTTCCACGTGTAAATTCGACTTCTCCGTTGACAGCTCAGGAAAAACTCGAGAAAACCATGATAGGCGGGTAATATGTCTAGTGTACCGATCTACATCATCGTGTCCAAAGCGTAGACCGGTGATTAAGCAAAACTCCTCCCGCCCAAAACACGTATACGCCGGTGGAAAATCAAACCATATCTCTTCATCACGACGTTGTATAGTCTCTGGTAGATCGCTAGTCATGGTTTGAAGAAACAGATGGGTCAACATAGCATCTCCACCCGGATGTTGTACTTTCAGCCATGGCCCGAAGCAAGTATCCTCAAATATTTTTCTTTGTGCAGGTGAAAGCTTCGATGTAATTATTTTGGCCAGGCTTACTTTATTTCTTAAGGTCAATTGAGCCGAATAAAAGTTCTGCAAAAACAATAAACATACCAAGTTAGATATACAAAAAACTACACTGTGAAGATATAACAAGAACAATAAACATAAAGAGTAGTAGTTTATTCTTCAAACTTAAATTTGCAACACTGTGAATTTAGTATTTGTCTTTGTTTTTTGGTTGAAGTAATGCAATTCATTCAAGTTTCAATTTGCAGAAGAAGAATAGTTTCTGAAACTTAAAATTGCAACACGAAAATGAAAATCGCAACACGAAAATGACTATCGCAACGCGAATTTGACTATCGCAACGCGAATTTGACTATCGCAACGCGAAATGAAAATCACAACGACAGAATCGCATTGCGATAGTCATTCTCGGTTTCAAATACTAAAATTGAAAGAAACTTGAATAGATTGCATTACTTCAACCAAAAGACAAAACAACGACAAATACTAACTTCACAGGGTTAAAGACTAAACAATTTAGCAGTATTGGCAGCAATCGAATTAATATAATAAGCAATCTAAGTGAAATGGTTAATCTATTATTGAAAACATCAGTAAACTTATCATCAATTTCAATATGAAAAACCTAATAATAATGCAAAAATTTCAAAATAAAAAATAATTAAAAAAACTAACCCTCGGTGGTTGATTTGGTTGATTTTTCATTTCTGACCGTGAATGATTTCGCCGGAGATGGAGACTGATATCGTTGGAGATGAGAACTGATTTCGTCGGAGATGGGGACGGATGTCGCCTTAGAGAGTGAGAGATGAAGATGAGACTGAGTTGTGATTTAGGGTTTTAGGTTATGAGTTACGATTACGGGATATACTGTGGACGGTTCAGTGTTCCGATATATTAATATATTCGTGTTTGGAATTTGAAAAAAAAAATACGCGTTGGATACGAATGGCACTATGTAAATCGCATTGCGATAGTCAGATTCGCGTTGCGATTTACGTATTCGCATTGCGATTTACGTATTCGCATTGCGATTTACGTATTCGCATTGCGAATTAGGAAAATCGCAACGCGAATTTGGAAAATCGCAATGCGATAGTCAGAATCGCGTTGCGAATCTGGAAACTGATTTGCGATACCGGAGATCGCGTTGCGAATTATCGATCGCATTGCGATTTAGTTGGTCATTTTGGCAAATCCAAAAAAAATTGGTTAAAATCGTATATTATAAGACATTTTTTGTTACTAAGGTTATTTTCTCTTTTTTCATTTGTCATCTAATTAGATTTGAGTTTATAGAAATTTTATTTCATCTGAAATTTGATTTTCTTAGAGAAAATTTTATATCTATACTAACACTTGACCTAATCTAATATATATATAATTTTAACTTTTATATTTTTATTAAGTAAAACATGAACTTAGTTGAAAAAATATAAAGAGAGAATTATAGTAATTATCTTTAATATATATATATATATAATAATTGAAAGGTTGATTATAGTCTTATACTAATATTATTTTCAAGTCAAATGGAATATTTTTCGCTCTAAACCTAAATTCAATCTAATATGAACTTAAATAAAAAAATAGACAAAATGTTAAAATTAACCTCCAATATTTATTAAAATGATGCACGGATTTGTTTTAGTATTTTGGTCATTAACATTTTATTTTAGCACAAAAAATCTCTTAATATTTGATTGAAAAGTGATTTTGATCTTTATTCTTTTTTTAGAATGTTTTGACTCTCGATAATTCATTTTAGGTTAAAATACCTTTATTTTAAAGCGATAATTGTTTGTTGGCGAACGATTTTTATATAGATGAGCTTTTCCCCCCAAAATGAAACATTAGAGATCAAAATGTTTCAAGAAAAAGAATAAAAACCAAAATAATCATTTTTTATAAAGGTTGGGGGATGATTTTAACATTCTACCTAAAAAATAAACAAATTCAATTATCTCAAGTAGGGGTGAGCATTCGATCGAGTCGAGTCAAAATATTTTAAGTTATTCGAGTTGACGAGTCATATTTTACAACTCGGACTTGATTTAAAAATTTTTCGAGTCGATTTTTCGAGTTTATGTTTAAATTTAAGTGTAAATATTTGTAATACTATAATATTATTTTATTCAAATTTAAGTTATTTTCTATAACCATATATATAATAAAAATATATTTCTTCATATTTTTTCATATGTGACGTACATATATCATATAAAGTCCAAACACTTAACTCAAATTTGAAAATAAATATATTAACTACTAAAAATTTAGAGTTATTCGAGTTGTATTTTACAACTCGATTTGAATTTGAAATTTTTTCGAGTCGAGTTAATGAAATTGCAACTCGAAATCATTTCAAGTAGAGATTTTTCTAATCGAATCGAGTCAAAAAAAAATAATTTTTCAATTTGAATCAAATTTTAGTCATCCTTAATACCGAGTTATAAAATTCTTGTTATTCAAGTACTCATCCTTAATTGTGTCACTAAACATGAAGAATAAAGATAGGGTCATAATGGTGCCCAACCTACTTATTCATGGTGGACCCTCTACCTCAACTGTCACCAACTCTCTCTCTCTCTCTCTGCATAAATGTCTCATTTACACGCTTTAAATATCCTCTCTTCTCACCATTAAAGAGAAAAGAAATCTTCAAGTGAAAATCCTCTAAAAAGAACATCAAAAAATGATGAACCCCAAAAGCACCTTCATCTTGACCATACTACTCATCATCTCCGCTTCACTGTCCGCAGCTACAAGGCCGGACCATTTCGAACCCTTATCGTCTTCTTCCCAGCAGAAGCAAAACAAAGGCAGCAAAACAAGCGACCAGAACAATAACAACAATGGTGGGATCGGTGGGTTGTTTGGGCCGGGCTCGGCTGGGTTTGGGATTCCGGGGTGGGGAAATGGGATCATAGGCGGCGGTTATGGGGCCGGAGTGGGAGGTCCGAATGGAGGTTACTCGAAAGGTGGCGTGATTAGGCCGAGTGTTGTTTGCAAAGAGAATGGACCTTGTTTCAACAAGAAGCTCACCTGCCCTGCTAAGTGCTTCGACTCGTTTAGCCGCTCCGGGAAAGGGTACGGCGCCGGTGGCGGTGGTGGCAGCTGCACCATGGATTGTAAGAAAAAATGTATCGCTTATTGTTAAGTGGGTAATATATATATATTTAGTACTAGTAGCTACTTATTGTACCACGCATGTATGATCAGATGCATGGAGTTTTTAATGAGTAAAATATATACTCATATTTATGTACTATATTGGGAGTGAGTTTTGTCTACCACTACTGGTGGGATAAACTAATATATTTTTATTTAAATAAGTTCATTTTATTTCTTATTCCAAATGGATGCGATTCACTTGGATCGTGAATGACATGATAAGTCGAGATTATTAAATAATTTTTTAGTGATATTTTCTTTAATATTTAAATGGTTTTTTCTGTAAAAAAAATGCGTCTTACCATTGCTTTCTACTTCGTGATTATACATTAATTTTAGAGTAAGCAGAATAAACATCATTAAAAAAATCCCCTTTTGTTTTAATCACTAAATTTTATTTTTTTTCAAAATAATATCGTTTTGATAAAAAAAAAAAGAGAAAATTTTCTCAAGATAATGTTGTTTTGATTCTTCTGTCATGTCATAACACCATCACTTATTTAACGATAAAATGAAAAAAGTCAAAGTTGAACGATAATATTGATTTTTGGGTAAATTATATCATTTTTTATTGAACTATTCTCTCTCTCTCTCTTATTTTCCTCACACAACTTTTAATTTTTCTGTTTTGATCACTGAACTTTACAGATTGAATCATTTTGCTCATTATGTCGTTAACAATTTAACGGCGGAATGACATGCACAAGCATCAAAACGATGTCGTTTTAAAAACTCAAATATACACCAAAACGACGTCGTTTCGAATCCTATATTGAAAGTTTGGTGAGTAAAATAGGAGATGGGGTAAAGTTTAGTGAGGAACTGTGTAATTTACCTTTTCTTTTCTTCATTTTCTCTCTGCCGTCCACCACATGCCATTTTCATTCCATCCACTGTTGTTGACGATGTCCGTTCGATCCTAAATTTCATGGGTCAGTTCATCTCGACCCCTTGAGTTCGAATATGAAGGTTGTTTCACTGGAAAATGTCCCAAAACTCGTGAATTTTGACTGAAATATTTCGGCTTCCTCACTTTCAATCTAAAATTCGTGGACTTTGGAGCAACTTCCGACAAAATGGAGGTCGGATTTGAAATCACGATGTCGAGGCGAAACGAACCATGACATTTGGGTCCGAATGACCATCTACGACTGTCAACGGTGGCATCCGACCACCTTTTGATTTTTTGTTATTTTTTCAATTATTTTGTATTAAAAATAATAATAAATACCATGTTATCCAACCGTTAGAGAGAGAATGAGGAAGTGAGCAAAATGATTCAATCTGCAAGTTCAGTGAGCAACATAGAAAAATTGAAAGTTGGGTGAGAAAAATAAGAGAAAAAGTAGATTACGGTGAGTAACGGTGTAATTTACCCTTGATTTTTTTAAGAAAGAAAATTAGTAACTAAAACAAGAGTAAGTAGAAAGTTTAGTGACTATTTGCGTAGTTTATCCTTAATTTAATGAGTCAATCTATTTCCCCTATTGATTCAAGTAGTGTAGCCAGACTACATGTATATGAGGGGACATGGGACAGGCATATCTGTCATCTTGAAACTTATGGTCATAACTACACTTGCAATGGCAAAATGAAACTCTCCTTACTACACATGAAATATAAACCATCCAAGTCCTTGTATATGGTATCCGCTACTAAGAGAGAGAAATTTATTGGAAAACATGCACAATAAATTACAGAGATGGGAAGAACAAATCGCCATGGACGAGAAGAATAAACAAGAGGTTAATCGTACATCATCTCATTGCAGCTAGTCGGTGGCATTATATGGCAGCCCTCATAGCTCCTCTCGCAGCCTCGCGCTTCATCTCGGCAGCTCTACCGCTCCCCCGGAAATACATGTATACTTGCTGCAATCCCAACAACAAACCACTGTTATTACAAATACCCTTCCTGCACATTTACGTGATCGTCGCAACGAATAAGATCGGGAACTGAACGAACCTGGATAACCCAGATGCTTACGACTGATTCAACACAGAACAATCCAAACCCGATGAAGTAGAAGATCTATGCAAACAAAGTAAAATTTCCATCAATATGGTTAACAGAAATCAAGAGTAGAACAGGTAAACTTTTTCTGCTAACATCAACTGCAATGGCGATGTTCGATCCTCAAGTAGTAAACATCATTCATTCTTTCTGCTCCCATCTATATTACCACTAAGCATCTTGACACCATCAGTTTTTCAGGTTAAACGCTTCACTGTTTTAAAAAGATGTGCTTACCCCAACAATTGCATGGTCTCCGATAAGATCAACTGCCGGTAGGATCCCACTGTTTGGGACAAACAGCATCGGTAAGATTTATGAAGAAATAATTGAACAAGAACATCATAATTGAGATAGAAGAATCCGAAAAAACAAATAAAGACAGATGCAATTCATCAGTCAAGTTAAAACAGTTTAGGAACATACGTTAGTGATTTCCCTCTAAAAACTATAGGGGGAGCCACAGCAGCAAAGATGCAGAAGCCGATGTGAACCTATAAACAGGAAAGAAAAAGCGATAAAAGGATCAGAACCTATCGACTCCTCGAAAAAAAGAAACATATATATCGGAGAAACACGAGGTATTACCAAATAAAAGAGGAAGAACCGGCCAAATGATAAAGCACTTTCTTTCCTGTTTTTAAGGAAATGACGACGGAAATTGGCATTAAATGCAAGCCAACATTTAAAAAAGGTATGCAAAACTGAACTGTGATATTAAGGAACAGAGTGGAGTATGTTGAGTACCTAGAAGCACGATATAGTGGACGATACCACAAGACATAGGCTCCCGGAACCCCTGCTACGAAGAAGATAATAGCCAAGAACCAGATCCTCACACCTAAACAATAATAAATACAATAAACACGACATAATCCTAACATTATATATTCGAAGGAAAACAATAAATGACAAAGTGCATTTCTAAACTAACCTTCTCCACTGATCCATGCTGCGGTAACAGATACGATGTTCCATAGAAGGCACAGAAACAATCCTGCATAGTATCACCATATGTCACTCTACTGCACGTAACCAAATGACTTGGACAAAAAGCCTTTTCCAGCTAAAGAGTTAAATAAAATAAAAGCATGATACAAATAACCACCCAATGCAATCATTCAGAGATTACAAACTCAAACGAACGGAGCACAAATTTTCATTTTGGTAAACAAGATTGAACGTTGAGCGATGCATAGATGGACCAGGCAATATAGAAAAAAGGTAAATAAGTATTCAGAAAACCTTACATACCTAAAAATGTTGAAAATGCTACATACTGCACTCTTTGTAGATGAACCGGTATGTCATTTGCAATATCATGATGAATAATTGGGAAAAATGGTGGCCAATTTTTCTCTTCCAAAACAATTCCAGCTGCAAAACAGAGAATTCAAACTCTAGCTAATGAAAGAAATATAAGAGTATAGAATCAGGTCAAAAATATTTGCAAAAGTGTTATCAACAACAAAATTTGAAACAATGAGAAAAGCTAAATGTTTTCTATATGAATAGTCAAATTAGAATGACAGGTACCTCTTGCTGCTGCCTCTTCTTTCCGTCTCACTTCCTGCATGGAATAAGCTGATCAGTGAAAATTGTAGGGATCCAATAATTCACGGGGTGCAAAAAGGGCAAGCAACAAATCAAGTTCTTGCTATTTATTTATGAAACAATCATGCATGAACAGAAACTTGCATCTTAAAACCATCCTTCTAACTTAGCACACTAAGTACAAAGACATAACACATTTTCTAGTTATTTATGAAACAAACATCTTACAGCTATAAAAGAAAATTTGTGCACACTAATACAAGGAGAGAACACATAAGATATCCCACCAGCAACCTAATTGTGTCTTAATAATAATTTGTTAGCTTAATTCATGATTGCTCCCTCAAAGTATGCACTTTTTTGTCATTTTGCTTGCTCAACTATTTTCTTCTAAGTTTTCCCCCTTAAAATATCATTTGCATCTCATTTCACCCTGAAAATTATTGATGTCCAATAAGAGCATGCCACATGTCACGTTCTTATTAGCCTTTTTTTTATTTTGGGGTAAACTGAGATGGAAATGATAGTTTAGGGGACAGGTTGAGGAAATATAGTTTAAGGTGCAAAGTGAGAAAAAGTGTATACTTTGAGGGGAAATCCTGAATTAAGCCAAATTTGTAAGACAAATTGGTATATTCGACCTTTTGTTACATGTGATTCTAAATGTTTGATAAAGCATATTAGGGATCAAATTTGGAACAAAAATACAATCTATGATCTGTAAAATAAGAATGAATTTGAAGTTATAAAATTTATTTTCGCAATATACCTGCTCCCGCCTTTTCAGTTCAGCCTCCTTAGCTTGTAGCTCCTTCTCCTTCTTCTTCAAATCCTAGATTTATGCAGTAAAACCATAGCTGTGAGATTAAATGCTTAACCAAACTATGGAAATAGCATTTAGAGACAAGTTTTCAGTAGTCAATAACCTGATATGATCCTCCTGAAGTTGTATCCAGAGGAATGTCAATCGTCGCATCACGATCATAATTGAAACCGGCAGGTTCTGGAGGTAGTGGTGAAAGTCTCGAGTTTGATGCAGGTGGCGCGCTTGGAACATTCTGAAAAATTATTCACAACACATACGAAAAGCAAGTATTAGTATGAGAAAACTTTCCGGTTTACCTTCCTTTTGAAGCAATGTTCAAAGGCCAAATTTGACATAACCAAATCACAAGAATATATTAATCAACCTATCTTTTCTGAACTAAATCATCCTAAACCTTGGCATATCCAAGCTAACTCTAAACCCTATCTGCATTGGAGAAAGAACTAAGTTTCTAGGTTAATCACTATAATACAATGTGCTCAAGGGATTAAATAGTGGTTAGTTTAGCACAACACCACCTCAAGTTATGTTTTTACATATCATCGGTGACCAAGTATCCATGTCTCGACAACAAGCCTAAAACCCGGCCTTTCAAATATGAAGCACTCTCCAATCTACATGGATATAAAGGGGACAAAACAACCAAAGCCTTATGCTGAATTTCACATTTTATACCCATTCTAGTCAATCTATGTCCTAAAACAGTTCTCGTCTTGACCTCAACAACAAGTTTCTAATTAAACATTCCTTTGAC